TAAATGAGATTTTTGATAAAAAAAAACCTTATAAGAACTGATTTCGTTGTTCGGTTTTTGGATGTTAGGTTTATTAGCGATTTAATTATTGACTTAATAAACAAAAGGATTATATATTTTCACGGGTAAAAAGTCATCATCATCACCATCATCAGCGGGAATAGCATTCTACTTAAACTGTCAAACTCCGCGAGGACACCGGTGACGACAACCTATTGTTCTTTAATTGTGTCTATAATGACGGTACTCAAAGGGTTAAGAAGGAGTTTGCTATCAGCTCCATGGTTAGCTTGTGGATTAGCTATAAAGTCATTGAAATTTTTGAGCATATTATGCAGAAACATATTAAAAGACCTTTTAATAGGCGTTGGTCTTGTGGATCTAGAATAGCCTCTTATTATTTCTATTGTACCTAAGTTCCTATTGTCTGCTAATTGAAACCTAGGCCTCGACAAACTGAAATTCATTAATAAAACAAACCGTAACAGAGAATTGGGTACTATTTATCTTTGGAAAGTTCAAGTGTCGTCTTTGAACCAGAAATAGAATAAATATCCATTTTCCTTACTCTTTATGTTGTACCAAATTCTCTCAATGCACGTTCACAATATTTTTAAACTATTTGCCCTTAAGTAAAACTTACTACATTACCTAATCAACTACCAACGCAACATAACATCGTGCCTTTTAAGGAACATGCAAAGTGCAAACATACACATACTTATTAAAAATTTCGTCTCCTGCTTTAGACTTAGAACTAACTTAGAAAAATAATTCGTAAAAAATCACATTGTCTCATGTATGTACACTAATCGCGTTCGTCACTTACACATGTTTTAAAACAATTCGCGCTAAGACTCCACAAACCAAACAACTGCAAAGTAGGTAAAGTCAAAGTCAAATATTTACCTAAAAGAAAACTGTTCAAGTATAAAAGATGAAACACCAAGTTGATTTAATACTTTAAAACCAGATACTCTTCAACGTTCGCGCCAAAAATAACTTAACCAAACTTTGAACTTAATTAAGCAGAAGTAATCCCCAGAAAGTTCGACGGAAACTCCATTACTTTAATTAACACACTGATTCTCAGATTTCATTAAAAACTTAATTTGAATAAACACTATGCTAAAATTTATATCTTGGTTACTTTTTTAGGAAAATCTCATCTTTATTTAAGTCATTTCACTCTTGACAATGGGTCGAAGCCGTGACCGTGGGACACACATCAGGAATTCAGAAAACTCGAACGCTTGAAGTCTTTATTTAGATTATTGGTCTAGATATATTATGTTAATAACAAAAACCTATTATACCTCATTAAATAAAACAAAATTCACTACTCTAAATTCACTTTTTTAACCTGGTTAAAATAAAATATTACCACCAACAATTCATTTTGTGCAGTTTACCGTTGTACAACAAGTGTAGTTACAAAAAAATATGGCTGACAAAATACGCTAGTTTTATTGTATAGAATATTTTTTAGGGTTCCTTACCACCTTATAACAAAAATTATAACAGGATCACTTCATTTTCTGACTAACTTAAGGGTCTATTGGCCAGTGGTATATACTTTTCCACATTTTCCAGGAAAATGTGATTGAAACACAAATATTTATTATTTGAAATCAATAAAACTGAAAAAATACAATCTACCATCATATTCTATACCTGTACATTTTAACACTAAATGGCACTAAAGGGAAACAAAACTTACATAGAGAAAAATCTGAAACATAAGCCATAAGAAATCTTTGATGCTTTAGCTCACAGAATTTTTGCTAAAATAATCTGTTTTCTATTTTTTTACTTAGTTAGCTAAAATCCTTGTCAGACATAATAAATCTTCGTGTACATTCAGCTTTTTTACCAAAAAAATATAGAAGTCTGTACGTAGGTAACCGACGAATAAAATAAAAACATTATTTTGCATGACAGAAGAATTTATTACTACGAAATCGTTACGCATAAAGAGTGTTCGATATTCAAATTATTCAAAGTATATTTTTATTTCTTGCTAAAATAATTTTATTATCTATGGCGTCTTGAATGTCGCTCAGTGTTGTAACCCAATTTTGTCCCAAAATAATTTTAATCTAGAAATGTAGCTAATGGCTGCCTAGGGCTGACCGTTACGAAAATTGTACCGATTCAGTAGGGTAATTTGTACGAATAACCATGTTTATAACCTTGGCTGTCCTTTACGCTTGAGAAATACCCCAAAAAATAAAAATTTAAATAATACGTTTTCATCTTTCCCGTTTGGTAATAAAATCGAAAATGTATTGTAAGTAGTAATGGTCGATTCAGGATAGCTTGATGTACCGTCGACTGTACAATAATATGTAACTAGGTACTGGCTGGTGGTTTACCCGTGGTAGTCGCAAACATTAACAGACCGCTCACACACTAATAAAATATTCAGCTAAATACTTTTGTTTGTACGTAGCACACCTACGTTTATGTACTCGCATCATAAATATTTGATAGCCGTGTTTTAGTAGGTGCTCAAATTTTTGTTGGAATTTTTTACTGAATTTAAAAAAAATGTAGGTATTGTTTGTGCAATTTGTTAGTGGTAATCGCTCGCCAATTTATTAGCAGTAACTTTATTTTGCTTTAGTCAGCTTTTAAATATTACTAAAACAATTTTAATGCCAGAAAATTCTAATTAAGTGCATAATTTTTTTTTCTTTATTCCGGCTGGAATAAATTATGTGTACCTACTCTATAAAGGTAGCTATTTTTTATTAAAAAGTTAGTATTTAATTAAATATTAACAAGGGTCCGTTTATTTATTTACAACACGTCTGTTCGTTCGTTCATTTAGCTGTCTAGAACATTTCCGTTGCCCCAAAATAAAATTCATTAAAAACCAATTTTCTAATTCTCCGCCAATTCACAAAATTATATTACTTGGCACTAAATAGGTTTGTTGCTCGGAATAATTTAGTAATGGCTCTCATTCAAAGTTTTATCCGATTATTATTTGTACTCAGGCGATTAATTTCACTAGAAAAATACTGGCCGGTAATTAAAAAAATATTGTCTATGGAATTTTGGAATTAGAACAATGTTTGATGGTAAAATGAAAATGGTTTTTGATTGTTTCATTGATGCGTTTGTTTATTTTAAATAAAAAATTTCGTCTAATTCGATAAAAAAATATTAGTGTGTGTCAAGTTACGAGGTATCTATGTATTGTATGTTTCTTATTCTTCTTTATTTCATTACAAATTGCAAAAATGGTTCCAAGCGTCATTCTAAAATCAAATATGAAAATATATTTTTAGTTTAATTATTACATTACAAGTTTCAACTTTATACAAAACAATAATTATCACAACCTTCACATCGATTTCTGTATTCGACAATAACAAACGTATTACCGTTTCATTGGAAAAAATGTCGACAAACTGTTTGTTGGTAATTGTTACGACGTAGTTTCCTGACCCGGTTTTAAAAAAAAAACTTTTTTCTTTTGTTTGTAATGTTCTTTTTTCTTTTGTTTACATATTCATTTTGTTTTTTGTTTAGTTTTTGTAAACAACTGTTTTAATAGGCGATGGGGTACGATAAAAGTAAGTTGTTAAAGGTACTACGTAAGTAGGTACTTTATATCGGTTAGCGTGACTATACTTAATGGTCTTTTGTATGGAATTCAAACAATAGTATGATAAATAGTTATTAACAAAATATTGTGTAAAATGTTGCTTCGTTGGCCGAGTGGTCACAAGTGCGACTGCCGGGCAAGAGGTCTCGGTTTCGATTCCCGGGTCGGGCAAAGTATTACTGGGTTTTTTTTAATCCTCAGTAGCAGCACGGAGTCTGGAATTGTGCCCGGTATATGGCAACAGGCTCACCCCCTATTACATGGGACTCATAACATAAATAGTTAAAAGTGGGTGTTATATTGTACAGTGGCATAATGTACACCTCTGCCTACCCCTTCGGGGATAAAAGGCGTGATGTTATGTTATGTTAAAATAATGCGCCTGGCTATTTTTTATCAGCCTTACATTAATCGTTTAATTCCTTGATAACGACGTTCAAATCAAACATTTTCCTATTTCCCAATCCATCAAGTTGCGTAATAGGTAAACGGTGCTGAGGTCACGTACCGTGTCGTTGTCTTTTCGGAAATATCATGAGACCTCCCCTCTAGATAACATGAGCCAATTTTACCCCAAGATCACATCAATAAACATCTATTATACTAATAACGTTTAAGGGGAAAATCTAATTTGTATCAATTTTCTTAAAGGCATCGACCGAATTCTTAGCATTCTGAGTTCTAAGGTCGGTAACCGCCTACTACTTAATGAGCCCTTTAGGTAGCTCTGTGGACTCCGTGTCAAATTCTTTGCGTTTCAAAAGTTTATCAGAATTAATCATTAAAATACCGAGGTGGTTAAGGTGTTAATTCGTTTTAAGTTGAGGTCGACAACCTCGTTATGTTTGCTTAACAAATGAAAAGTGAATTCCAATGAAATAATGGCTGGGTAATGGAAAGAAGTTTCCGTCTAGTAGGTACCCTTTTTAGGCATTGCCTTTTTGGCTTTAAATAATTTAAGAGAAGTTTATTTTTTAAAAACTATTTCGCGAATTAATTTAAGAGGCGTCATAATAATCTAACGTTTACTAATATTTTTCTCTAATTTAAACTGTCAAACACCGAGCGGTCACGGGTGACCGCAACCTATTGTTCTTTAATTGTGTCTATAAATACGGTACTCAACGAGTTAATACGTTAAGTTTTAAGGAAAGCGTTTTAATTTAAAATTATATTGTTTTAGATATTTTCTTATTCTCTACTCTCTATTCTCTACTGTCTACTCCCTACTCTCTACTCTCTATTCTCTACTCCCTATTCTCTACTCTATACTCTCTACATATTCTCTACTCTCTACTCAAATACAATCTGATAGAATTTGACAGATATAAGTTTTCTAAATACCGAAACCCGTTCTGATTTTGTCATTTTCATTGTTCTACAGATCACGGTGTTCCGAATCCAAGAGCGTGCTGAAGGTGGCGAGGTGCAGGAACTTGACCAGGTCATCCTAACGGCTTTGTTCCGAGCTCAACACCTGTCTCCCAGTGAACAGCTGTCCTTGGCACTAACATGGAACCGAGTGGACATTGCCAGATCCGAGATCTTCGTGTACGGACAAGAATGGCCGCCAGGTGAGAGAAGAATATTATTACTTGTCGTTGCTTTTTTTTCAGGTTGATATAGGTTCTATGAGTTAGTTTGAAACAAAGCCAGATGATTTTTACTGGCATCAAATTGCTATGTAGCTAAAACATAAGCGAAGCAATATGCCTAAGTGATGTAGATTCGATTAATCCTGCCTGAGAAATGAGGTCTATAAAACAAATAACATGTATTAGTCAGACTTCTACACTACAACAACTTAGCAATTCTAAAGTTCCTTAAATGTCTAAAATATGATTATGAGGTATAAACAACACCTTGTTACGAAGATTCCAAAGAGCTTATGTTTAACTTACCACTAGATATAGTAACATGTAACAGACAAAAATAGTAAATAATCACCTAAATGAAACCCGCATTTCAAAGCATTAGAGGTGGTTATAATATTTAATCCTATTCCAAAGTATCTACTTAGCTTCGTAATATTCCGTTATGTTCATATAAGTTTTGTTCTTTTAACATAACTAGTAAGTGTATCTTATAATCACTCAAAGGGTACTTGGAAGTATAACAAGTTTTAGTTTATTAGTTGTTTTAAAGAATACGTGTGAGATTCTTTAAAACAGACTAAATGAAATGAGTAACTGGAAACTAGAAACACAAAGCAAATTGTTTTATAATATGTAGGTTAGACTAAATTAGGCGTAAACCAACAAAGGTGCACATTTCTAAACTTTGTGTATTACATTTCTTAGAAGTTGATATTGCATTGTATTTTCCAATCCACTTAAACATACAAAATATAATAAAATATGTAGGTAAATAAGCACAGTACTATAATTTTATTATAACTTTCGTGAAACATACTAAATAAATTAATATGTTTTCGGCTTACTCATTTCGCGACCTGCGACAGCATCGCGACAGTCACCGCGTCGCAGATCGCGAAATACTGCTAATGAATATGCAGCATGGCTTGAAACTAGTCGAGTTCCTCGTCAAATAATTACTTGAGTAAGCCGAAAACAATAATTTACTAAGCACAGTACTTGTGGAAACACAAATAAAAACTAAACAGATGTTGAAACACATGTTTTGAACTTTAAATGAACGTCGAATTTTGATGAAAGATACGTACGACGTCTTCTATTAAACAACAAAGAGTAACTAATCTCTTGAATAGAAACAATGTCTTAAAGCTAATAACTTCCAAAATTATTTATGTAACAACGCCTGAACAAGAGAGTTCCTGAAAACGTTTACGAAGTATTTAGTCAGGGTAGAAAATTAGTTAGAACACAAATTCGCTCAAAACACAAACTTGATGTATTTAACATACGAAATTCACTGTTTATACAGGTAAACGAAAATCTTCATAAGTACTCTTTGATTACATGACTTGCTTACTTGGCTGTGTTCTTAGAACCTGAGTTACTGAGATATTAAGTTGTCACATGTTTCACCAAAGAATATACGGTAAAATCCAATTACAGCGTTCTCAGTACATTGTAAGAGAAAATCGTTGTTATAGGCAGACGTAAAAAATGTGAATGTGAACTTGTATGTTTGTAAACGTACCCACCGGGGAAAATCCTAGAGGTGCGCAACGTTTATGAAAAAAATCTAAATACCGACGGCTTAAGTATTTCCTCCAACAGTAAGGACTCAAAGTCCACGATATGAAAAATGAATACCGTTTGATAACAGAATCTCTTGCTTGCAAACACGTAATACAATACAAATAAAGTCCTTTAATTCTAAACTCTCAATCTCAAACAAAATTAAAGCATATCAAACAAATAAACTTGAATTGGTCTGTATTCAAAGTTTAAAGGGGTATATTCATTAGCAGGGTCTGGCAACTTAACTGTTCGCAAACAAATTACATTTGGTCCGTACGGTACTGGGTACAGAATAAATTCATAGACCCCGACCCTTATTGGGTCTGTGGAAAATGATATACCGTCATATTGGGATTTGAATTGGAAGGGACAAATTGTCACAAATATTATTTATTTGGCGACACGTAATGAAAATATGGACTGTGTTCAGAAATCTATAAACCTTTTTGGTTTAGTTGCCTTCTAGAACTAGTGATTTAGTATTTATCTAGATTTGTTTCTGATTATCTTTGTTTATTTAAGTCTGTACCTACAACGATTTTTATATAATCTAGTCAGTAACACCCCTACCGCTGTAAAAAAAACAAATCTATGGTTCATGAGTGTTTTCAAGCTTCGCCGTTACGTTAACTATACTGGGTTATTAAAAAATCCCATGAATTCAACTTAAATCAGCAATATAGTATAAACTTTATTATGCGCATGAGGTATAAACCAAATAAGGTTTTATGTCGATGTAAAATTCACTACTGTTTACCTATAAAACTCCTAAACTATAACCTGCTACTATAGCTTGAAATTAGTTATGTGTCATTTAAAGCCTCCCCAATGTTATTAGCACTTATGTTAAGGGAATTTTGCACCTGTCACCCTGATCTTAGTCATTATTTTACTATAGAAAACTCTAAACTACCGAAATATGTATTCATATTTATCTCTATCACATAAGTTATTATATTTATCTTTATACGAGCTATCTTCGAAAGTAAACAGGTCCATTTTGCTCTCATTTTTACTACAGTTCTAGTTAACTTTCATGTGGTAAAGAGAAACAAATGTTTGAATGTAGAACTTATCTTGTTTTTAAAACAAAATCCCAATACATTGACCTAAGCCGTTATAGGAATGATTTCACAAACAAAATAAATCAGTCTCAACCATGTCGAAATGAAAAATATCACTGTTATGTTGGCATTGTGTGATTTATGACGAAGGCTGTACTTTATTTTTCATGTTGTCTCTTAGGTATTCCTATTCATGAATTTTAAAATGAAAGGTAGCACGGTACGGTACAACTGAGATGATAGACATTATTGTTTGAATGGCGAATGCAGAAAGAATTTCCTTTCACACTTTTTTCACATTGAAATGTAACATTTTTAACTATAGATCATCTCATGTTATTTCATGTTAATCTAAAAAAAACCGGTTTAAAAGACATAGCTACATTTTGTGATTAATCCAGGAGACTTTTTAACGTCTAGGGTTATTTTTCCAAATATATGCATCCATTTACATATTTTACCTCGTTTAAGTTAAGAGTTTGTTTTACCAATTTTCGCACTGATCAGCGACATAATACCCTTGTGATGTAGTTAGATATTAAATATGAGACACGTGTAAGCGCGGTTATCGGAAAACGAAATAGCTTTTGTTGTTCGCCCTCTAGAGATATCCTCTATTTTCTGATTTCTATGTTTCCAGAACTTTTCTGTTTTTCCTGCAACAGTGTTGAGTGGTGTAATTATAATAATAAATAACCCGCGATTCATGAAAAAATATTTTGGATTCTTTATAATTATGATCAAAACTTTAGTATTTTTGTGAAAGCGCAACCAACTATGTATCAGAAACAATACTGTTTGATCCAATTTATATTTGCCAAACATTGAAATTGTAAAACTTATTTGAATAACTATTCATTCAATCGTGAATAACAATAGCAAACAATTTAAAGGGAGGCAATTCTGTTAGCGTCCTGTTTGCACAGCGCAAACGTACCGAATCCGCCTTTCACCGCCTCCAAGAATTGTATTTGATTACTGGAATTTATATGAGGAATGGGGATTTAAAAGGACCTTTTGGAATCCGACATTGACACGAAATAAAGACAAAAGTGAAATACGTTTAACTTTGTATAAATATTGAGAAACGGACAAATGTAACCACTCGGTCGTGAAAATTAGAAGGCTCGAATTGTTCCAATGTTTTAGTTGCTCAAAGGTCGTGGATAACTTTTGTTTCTGTTAAACGGGTTGATTTATATGTTTATGTAACGACCATTTATTCTCGAGAAATAAAAGGCTAACCCGGGGCATTTGTGATTTATCCGGAGGTCAGGGCATAGGAATAATATGAAACTAGAAAATATTATTAGTCTTGTTAACTGAACTGAAAAATATACAACAGTGACTTTAATTTGGAAAGATATAACTCCTGCCTTATCTACTTACCTTATTGTTTACTTCAAACAAAAGCAATGATCGAAACAACAAATCAAACATTTACAGCACTATGTGTTTCTTATGCGGTTCTTATTTCGTTTTCCGAATTAATATTTTTAAAACTTTCTTCATCAGTCATTTGAAAAGGTTAAATTCATATGCACTTAATACCCAATCTCCAAATTACATCTTCATTATTTATTAGTACATAGTAGTAAGCAAATGTATCAACGTTGTTTATGTAAATACATTACTAGATTCACTATTAATATTATTGAGTGAGGACGGACAACTGTATAAGTTATAGTGTGTCTTACTACGTGTATTAAGTCGTTCTTTATTTATCCATGATAACTTGTTATTGAAAATGCATTACAAGCTCAGCATAAACTTTGGTTTTGTTAAATAAAAGTAATATTATTATAAAACCTTATCTCATTTTAGGAAAATGAGAAAAGGAGAATGCATTTTACAAAGAAAAATTTTCATAAATTTTCCTTATCTTTTTTAAACTTTTAACACTTTTCTTTAATCTCAAAACGTTAAAACTGGACTGAAATGTTCAGAAAAAGTTAAAAAACTACTTTGTTATAAGAAGCAAGTGTAAAACTTTTCACTTTACCAACTGTGGTTACTGATCGTTAACTTTTAGGTTAAGTGCTCAACATGACGGGATTGCTTCATCATCAAAAAACATACGGAAATGTGTTTTGTAATTTAAAGCTACGTTTTTCTAAAGAATTCTTATATTTTAACTTACCTACTCAGTATTTGAATCTTTGATTAGAAAACATTTACATTTTTATGAATCTTCATAAGCAAAGTGTACTGCGATAAATATTTCGTTGGTTATAACTTCAAACCGTAACCTAACCATAAATATCTGCATAACTGCTACCTACACAAGATAAATCTCAAACACGAGATATCTTATTTTTACTATTCTGCCACTAAATTCATATC